ACCAAGTGAGAAAACTCTGAGCCTCACCTTTGCTAATTGTCCCACCATCAATCACATAAGCATTTAGTGCAGATTATTATTTATCTCTAAAGATGATGAAGAAATAAAGCAGTCTCTGCCCTGCAATTGCACATAGAGAAAGAAGAACATTCATGGCAATTTAACATGGTAACCTGTGCTATGATGGAGTCAGAGGGTGGTGTGGAAACACTAAGGCCCGGGTATGAAAAAGAAACTCTTAAGAGTAGAGCTGGGAGGTACAGGAAGGGGGTTGATGTGCGATATAAAATTGGAGGAGGTTGCAGAGGAGGAATTAGCCCAGAGATCTGGATGGGACCTGTGAACCTTCTAGACCAAGGTTTCTAGCCTAGGCAGTACTGTGATTTGGGGCTGGTTAGTTATTTTTTTGGGGGGGGGCCTGTCCTGTGCATTCCAGGTCCAGTAGCATTGCCGACCTCTACCTACTAGATGCCTGTTGCAGCTACCCTCCCCCCAAATCAGAAAATGTTTCTAAACGTTGCCAAATGTCCGGAGGAGAGAAGTCACATCACCCCTGGTTGAGAACTATGGGTCTAAGCCAAATACCCTCATTTCACTAATAAAAAACACTTACACAAGTAGTTAGTGGTAGAAAGCAAAATAAAACCCAGGCTTCCAATCCTACTTCAGTCTTCTTTCTATAACACCAAATGATGTTTCAGGGACCTCAGAAGACGCTTACAGACCTAAGGAGTTATTCTTCATCTTTCACCCTCTTCTGTGTTGTTGAGGATCTGGCCAATGCTGAGTTTGCAGAAGCCGGGTAGTCAGAATCCTGAGCTCAGCTTAAGCACTGGTATGAACACCCTGTATGCCATTGGAATGCCATTTGTGAATATGGCACAAAGAGTCACTCATAAGAAGCAGAACCTATTTAAGTTATTTGAACAAATGATTATTGTGTTTCAAGTGATCTTAATCATTTTTGGCTAAACTCCCTTAACAGCTGCTACAACTTATGCCCAAAACAGCGTCATGCACCAGCAAAGACTAAGTTTGATATGTTTATGAATACAACATCATTCTTAATCTTTGCATTTCTCTGGAGCATGCTTTGCATACCCGTGATCATCATTATGTGTAGCTGCTTCACAAAAGTCATCTTCATTCTAACCTCGGAAACTGAGTAAGCTAGACTCCTGGTGCTGTGGTCTCCCAAGCATAACTAAAAGAGAAGAAGAAGCTACAGAAGTAGAGATCTGCATCCTCACATTGAGGCGACCCTATTTTTACATAACGATGAAAGCAGATAAAATGCCTACTCATGTTTTCCATTTTTTCCAGTGCCATGAAATTATTTTCAGTATGGGGCAAACTCATGGGGGTTAGAAAGAGGAAATTAGATCAAATATGTTTAAGAAAAGAGGACTAAAATATTTATTTATTTATGCAGTAAATACTACCACAGGCCTACTATTGGTCAGGCATTGCTCTAATCATGAGGGGTAAAAGGCTAGATCAAGTTCCTGCCCTTGTGGAGCTCATGCTCCCATGTGCAGGACAACGGATAAGTGGTGGAAGTGCTGTGCAAAATGACACAGCAGGCGAGCAGTGGAGAGCGAGAGAGGAGAGCTGTTTTAGATGGGAATATGAGTAAAGACATAAATATAAATAAACGTGGGAATATGAACTCCACTCTAATCTAATATGTGGCTGACTCTCACAGAGTCTCAGTTGGGGTGACTCCTTACACCATCCTCATGCTCGACTGCATCCCACCGTGAGAAATGATTGGCCATCTTTTACTTAATCGATACCACTAGTGTGACAATTAGTCTTTCTTAGGTGGTCCCTTTGATTTTTGTATGCTCTACATTAAGGAGCGTTTTTTATTAAGCAGAAATCTACCTCCTGCAACGCCTGTTCAACCTACATGCCTAACATACGGCAACTCCAAATGAGTAAGATTCTTCCTTCTCCTGTGGACTCCATGGGAAGGTATTGCTTCCTGACTCCCATTTGCACATGAATGGAACGCTCTTTAGGAAACTAGATAAAGGAGGAAGTATTTTATTTTATTCCATGACACTAAATTTTCATTTCTACTCGCACATTAGTCAGACTAGGTTGTGATAACTGATGGGCAATTTAAATGAGAATGTAAAGAGAGAAAGGTATCATTTTCTATTTCTACCCAGTGTTCACATGAGCATTTCACTTTGCAGTGTCCAGTGGACTGCAGCAAGAGAGGAGAGTAGGATTGATGCCTTTAATTCAGTGGCAGTTTGGGAGGCCCGAGAGCAAAAAGAATTGTGGATATGATTCAGTTCTGCCTGCTCCGGGGAACAGAAGCCAAGGGATGGAGCTGCCTCCAGACCAGACAACAGCTTTTGATCACTGCCTGCGAGGAACAGGCTGGACCAGAGCCACTTGCTGGTGGAGGAGAAATAGCAAGAACTAAAGCCAGTGTACAATGAAGATATCATCCAAGTCGTAACTTCCATTAGGGTCATAGATCCTGGTTTGGGTGTACAAGCTGAGCCACCCAAAGGGGGACTTTAACACAGCGTTCCTATCTGAGCCCTTGTCTCAGATCCCTCCTAATCTGTGGCAGTCTGGGATGACCCAGGGACCTGGGCAAAGATTGAATGCAAAACATCCTTTCCAAAATTGCCAGGTAGAGGAGCAACCACCAATAACATTATCTTAAGAGGTCCCCATGCCATTACCAAAGGATTTCTCGAGTGACTCTTTATTGCCAGATATAGTTGGATAGAAGTGTATCTAAGTGTGTAAACTATATATATTTACATATAAATAAAAGCATATATTAGAATGTGTAAGATTTTCATTTATTTTCTAATGCTATGGCTTAGAGAGCTGCACTGATGGGGGGGGTTAATGTTTTTAATATATAACTTATTCCCAGATGCATGTCTAATTTACCTGAACCTCAATATAAAAAAAATAGTAGCATGGAGTTTAGAAAACAAAAAAATCTGAAAACACTACTGTTCCAGTAATACATTTAATTCACAAATTCCAAATTCATGTATATACCTAGAATCTAAGTACAGAGAAAGACAGTCGGATTCTATGGTAGCAGAACAAAGGTTAACAGTGTCATGAAAATTTCTTTACCTGCTGTAAATTAAAACTTATGCCATAGGAATATATCTGAGAACTTGGACTAGAGGCAGGGAGAGTTATTGAATAGAATTTTTTTAGAATCTAAAACCATAGGATGCCTAAAACCATGCGAGCTAAATAATCATTGTGATCATTTTAGACAACCTGTGCTAAAGAAAACGGTTGGGGGAGGAAAGTACCGGGCGGAGCTGGAGAGATGTCAGAGCACACCTCTACCCTGCATCCAGGGTGCAGAGGTAGGCTCCTCCTGTCCCCTCACTGTCCTCTCCCACTGCCACCCCATGCTCTCTCCCCTTTATTTCCTATGATCTCCCCTGCCCCCTATTTTTCCCTTCATCTTAACATGGGGTTTTCTAAGCTTCAAATGTCTGCTGCTTCTAGCCATGTAGCCCCTGGAATAGTGACAGTTAGCCTGTGTGTTGGTAAAAGGGAAAGCGGGGAGGGCAGGAGAGACAGGACTGGGGAGAAAGACTGGCTGATGGGAGGAGGTGAGCAGGGCAGCTGGGCCGGAGGGACAGGGAACCAATCTCTTTAAGTTCTCAAACGTGACTCCTTTCAGACGGCAAAAGCGTATGATCGTTCATATTCATTAAGAAACATTAACAACTTTCTCAACAATTTACTGTTTCTGTTATTACTATACAACATAATAAATCATGCAGAACATTAAATAATTTCAGGTTGTATGTCCATTTACAACTGTTGGAGCCTGAAACCGGTAGAGGAAAAGCTGGACGCAGCTGTCATGATCTCGGCCTCCACAGAAATCACAGTGACACATTATTCCAGAAAACCACCTACTTTGCGTACATGGAGGATTCCATCGTTTCTTGTTCCTGGATTTTTTTTTAAATCAAGCTAGGTTTAGAGCTCATGATTCAAGGCCACTCTCTTGTTACTAACCCGCTGCTTAATCTTTCATATCACTCTGCCCCCTGGGCCTCACCACCCTCATCTATAAAATGATTTCTTGCACAAATATCTCTTTTTCTGAATATTTCTAATAGTGAATGAAAACCAAGGCTCCAAGTCAAGTATTACAAATCATTATGAGTTTTTAGTGTAAGACAATTTGCTCCCAATATGTCTGTCCTGACATATTCTTGTTTCTGTAAAAAATGTGAGTATGAGCTGCTTAGGTTAAATAAAAGCCTGTTTTCTCATTGCAGATAAATAGGATTTACCATTCCCTGGATGAAGTGTCTGGGAAGTCTTTAAATGCCACAGTCAACTGCCATTTCGAAGAAAAAATAGATGGTTTTGGAAAGTTCATGCGGTTTCTTCACTGAATCTTAGGTGAGTGTGTCTGAGACAAAGAATTGAAGATGGACATTGGGCTATTTCTCTTTGAAGTGCTTCTCTGCTTCCATGAAAAGAAAATAGGGTTAAATACTGTCGGCGTTTTGTACTTTCAGCGAGGGGCCAGGCAGAGAAAGACTTCATTTTGTGCCTTTTGTTTATTTTTCAATTATTACCGTCAGAAATCTTGTGAGCTGGGAGGTGTGAGACACAGAGATGACCCTGACAACTCCTGGTTTCTATTAAGCAGATGCCATAATACTTCATTCTGTGCTAAAGGTCATCTAATTTTTTTAATTTATTAAAAATTTTAATAGCAGAGTAATAAGCCCAAATGAGAAAACCATGTTTCAATGCTATAAACGAGAGGAAAATTTGATGGTGCTAATGGCAGTTTAATCATTAACAAGTCTGCATGTGAGAAAAGGCTAACATGTCCCAGGCTGCCCATGGGGAGATTTTATAATCCTTAAATGAAAGTAGGGCATGGTCTAGGTTAGGCGCAGTTTCCCAGTGGTTGTGTACGACTGAGCACACACGCATGCTCACATGTGCACATGAAGCTTTGTTTGGCCCAGCCATAGAATGGATGGGTAAGTATTTTTTACATCATCATCCATAATTACCTTTCCATGCCTCAAAAGACATGAGCCTGCAAATTGGTATTTTGCAATTAGCCTGCAATATGCCATCGTCATTTCAGAGCAGAACAAAGAGGAATAGAGGAATTGAGTGGGGGTCTTATTGAGGAAATTGTGTGTCTTTCTACCTCCTCCTGAGTCTGGTTTTCAAAGTGTGGCTTCATTATCTACTTCAAACAATGGCGATTTCCAGATCATCAGAATACACCTCTGCTCCCAGTTCTGAATAAAACAATGCAACTGACAGAGTGTTGATCACTGACTAAATCTAATTCAAAAGACAATGTTGCCTCTTTTATATTTTGATTAACTTCAAAATGACAGTGGATAATTCTCTCATAATCTTAAGGGTGTGTAAATTTGGTTTATTGGGATTGTATGTGGAACTAAAATGGTGATTCCATTCATTTACAAGATGTTGGGTAAATGTAGTTCCCAGTTGCTAAACTTAGTACCCTTTAAAAATATAAATAAGTCAATTTTCCTGGTGTAACCTGACTCTGGAGGAGAAAGTGAAAATGGAAGATTGACTTACTTAGCTCTCTCCTTTCCCACTGTGCCAGTCTGTACCTGTGTTTACCTTCACCTCCATTCCTTGCCCTGCTCTTACCCCGCCGGTTCCATGGGAGGCGACCACTGTGGGTGGGTTTTCCAGCCCCCAAACCCAGCCTCTGCTGCCTCCACCTTCTCCCAGTGACCTTGAACTGTGGGTTCCAGTAATATCACCTCTTCCCTTTGTCCCCTGAGACTTGTGGGTAGTAGTGCCTTGGTCTTCTTGCTGCTGCTAATCTCCAGGTTGATTCTCTATTCCCAATTTAGTTCTTTTATTCCATCATCTGTGTAAGCATTTCCCTGGATTGAATTCAGTTTTAAATATTTACAGTCTGTGCTTTTCTCGGTTAGATTGGAAACAACCAATCAGTACTTCATTCATTTCTCTCAAAATCATAGGAAGGAAAATAAACAGGGATTCCCTCTTTCTCCCAAGGAAAATAAATGATTCTCAGAAAATAAATTGAAAGTTACATGTAAGGTTGGGTTTTTACACTGAAAAAATTTTAACTTGATATATTTAAAGATATTTCTAAGCTATGCAGTATTGTAGTGTAAATTTGTTGTTTTTAATAAAATCATTATTGATATTCCCATCTTGCTTATCAAATTGGGATCTTTGAAATGCTCAAATGCATACCAAAGATGAATTTTACTTTTTTAATATTCATATTTCATGAACTTCGGTATGCATGCTGTAAGAACCTCTTTTTAGGGCATCACTCATTCCTGTATTCACTGTTAAATCTATAGCCTCAGGTCTATTTTATTAAGGATCCAACCTCTTTCTTTTAGTAATGGTTTGCTTCTTGGAGCCTGCTGATTTCCTATGATAAATTCTGACTGTATCAGAAAGCAAAGTGGTCAGGATGCTAGTGGCTGTCTTTTTTTGACAGGCAAACAATTCACCACTGTCCCAGCGATCTCACTCATGCTAAAAGGCTTCCTTGGTATTGAAGTGGCTTTTCATCTAATTATTTCGGCACTTCACTTGGTTATTTCAAATGCAAGCGCCTTGCTATTTTCATGCCCTTCTCATTTATTTGTGTAGACATTTCCCTTTTCAATCTTTCCTCAGAGATCCTCATAACTGCTCCTGTGTCTGTTTTAATGTATTGTGGGTGCACTCAAAAGGACATGGCGTCCCTCCTACCAACAATTTTCATCTGTTCAACCAATGTTAAAGTTAAGCCTGCAGCACCTTACTGAGCATCCTTTAGACAATGTGGAAATGCCATGGTGAGCAGAATTAATTGGACCCCTCCATAATCTAAAATTAGGAGACAAGGATAAGTAGCTTTATGGTGTGGTTTAAGATGTAATAAAAAACTGATGTTTGCAAAACACATCTTCCATAGTTCGGTACAGCACTGAAAATTCTAATTGGTAACATTTCTCTCCAGCTTATGAAGGCTTTATGACGTCGTGTGTTTCAAAACATACTCTTGGAAAGAGAAATATATCCACTAATAATAGATACTGCATCACGCATAAGTCTAATGAGTTAGCAGGAAAGAGAGTCCTGGACAGTGGCGCAAACACTGAACTTCTGACGGTTTGGTGCACGTGAGCACGAGGGAACTACTGAAATAGTCTGACTGAGTTCATGATGCTGCCTGGTTGGCCAAGGGAGGCGCCCTTCAGAAAATATAACTCAGCCGAACCTATCTAAATGCAATATTGGAGGAGCGGGGGGGGGGGGGGAGGAGTGGAAGTGTTAGTCCTTCCACAAATGAATAACATTATAAATAGAGGCTTTAAATCACTGGTGCCTGAAGAGTCCAGGAAAGTGTTTAATCCAAAATGTAGTCATCCTTCTGCTGAATCACATAGTATGTTCTGGGAAAAATCACATGTGTTTAAAGGCAGAAATCATCTGTTATCCGCCACTGTAACCCTGGAAACAAGCCCAGTGCTTGGCACACTGTACATGATTTTTAAATAAATGATTAGCGAATAAGAGCAAAGGCACACAGCAACACCGGCTGATGTTTACTGAGTCCCTCCTTTAAACCAAAGCAGTTCTGAATACACATATACTTCATTTCATGCTTAAACAACCCGTGACACTGGCAATATTGTCTCCCTTTTTAAAGATAAGTAAACTAGGGCCCCCCCAAAATGCATAACCTGCCCAAGGTTAAGGAAGACAGGGTGAAAATCCAAATCTAGCCTGCTCCATTTCAGAGCCCAAGCACTTAATTATTATGCTCTACTGTCTCTCATGTAGTATAGTCAACAAATAGTTTTAAAACACAGAGGCAACACTGTTTATTATTAACAAACTTAAGTCATTCCAGAATACACCTGTACTAAGAGGGCTTGCCAAAAACCTTGAATGGCCTTGCTTTGAATACAAATCCCCTCTCTCCATTGTTCCCTCTCTCCTTTCCCTTTAAAACATTACTGCCCAAATCTACTTTCTAATTTACATTCCGATCTCATTATTTCTATTCTTTAATGGTTTGTTCTAAAATTAATATTCTAAGTATTCTATTGCTCTTTTCACACCATTTGCTTAATTTAGAAATGTGTAATCCTGAACAGCAAGTTACTTAAACTCTCAGGGCATCAGATTTCCCACCTGAAAAGATATGTCTAATTTGTTGTGAGAACTAGAAAATAATATACCAAACAACAATATGAAGTCCCTGATACATAGTAGGTGTCTAACCAACAGTAGCCAATATGACCTAGTTACCACCACCCACTTCTATCTCAGAGCCGGTGTTGGCTGCCCCATCAACTACAGAGCAAAACCTGTGTCCTGTATTTCTCCACATGTCATAACACAACAACGTATCTCTCGAGACTCACTATCTTCTTTTCTGCTCCTCAGTTGACCTTTGGTAACGTAGGAATGATTTACCTTCGCTAAGCCACACTCTGTATGGCTTCACTTTTGCTTATGCTGGCTCTTCCCCCGAGACGCTCCTCACGGCTCGCCCCCTCTCCAGACCCTGCTCACCCACAGGCACGCAGGCATGCGCTCTTCCGTGACCTGAACTATCCTAGTCATTGTTACGGTTTTGGTGAGGTCGTTGTCAAACCCCTCCTGAGTCCACAGTTGTCAGTCCTGTCTCTGAATTCACACAACCCTTCAGGACCTTTCTAGAATATCAGTTCCTATTGTGAACAATGGAAAGAAAAGCAATCTCATTCAATCACTCACAGGCTGATGCTGGCATTTCTCATCTTGTCTGTCTGTCTTTCCTCTGAAATTTTCATCAAGAACAAGTTTTTCTGTTTTGTTTTGTTTATCTTTGAATCTGCTGCACCAGGCTCAAAGTGCTCTCCTTTTGGGGGCTGGGTGAAGTATGAAGGGCCATATTTTGAGAGAAGCTGAGTGGCTTCAGTGTGCCAAAGATTTTAACACTGCAGCCACCAGGAGCGGAGTCCGTCGGGGAAAAGGGACCTTACAGGGAACATCTGGGCAGAGCACCGAAGCAGGTGCTCCACACAGACATTATCTCACTTAATGTTCTTAGTAACCCCTCCAGTTAGCTATTATTTTCCTCCTTATTTGGGTAAGAAAACTAGGGTTCCAAGACTTTAGATAACTTGCCAATGTCTTATTTCTTGTAACAGAACGAGAAGGTTGAGCTATTTCTTTTCAATGCAAGCAAACTGCTCCTCTGAAAGAGTTTCCAATTTAATCCTATAAAAATATGCATGGAAGATAATGCAAGAACTTTCTATTTAAAATATTTCCTGAGGAGTAAGCTATTTATAAGTCTACAGATCTTTTTCTCATTGGCCAATACATTTATGTTTAGGGTGATGCTAAAATTAGCACTATTTATATGCAATAAGAGTTTAAAAGATGTAGCACCTTGGGGCTCTGAGACTTATTTATGCAAAAACCTAATTTATTGATGTGAGCATACGCCTGGAAATGATGATGTCTAAACTGTAGACTGATAGAATTTTAGGGCTGAATATCATCTAGAATCACCACTAGAGATGGAAGTTTTAAGGCAAGGATTCTGTCTTTCTTTCTTTTTTCTCTTTAAGAATATTTGTGAAACAAATATTTATGACTAATTATGAAAGGACTTGTGTAGGATACAAAATAAAAATTTCCCTAGACATAGTGATACTATTAGTATTTCTTAAGAGAGTGCATAAATATGTTCTAAATTTTTTAATTACATGATTCAAATGCCATGTATAAGACTAATAGTTAATATGAATAAAACTCAAAATTTTCCAAAAGAGCTATCTTCTGACTTCCTTTTAATTGCAAAAAAAAACCAGTATCCATATAGAAGGATTCCTTCCTTTTGTGAAATATTCTGATGATGCTTAGGACACATTTATACCTGTAGTGATCATTCATTTGTTTATTTTTAAATATATATATATTACACATCTCTCAGGTTTGCTGGCTCTGTGCTAAG